GCCGTGTTGGGGCGCTATGAGACAGCGTCACTACACACCACCACCTCCCTCTCTGTCTCTCTGTCTCTCTGTCTCTCTGTCTCTCTGTGTCTCTCTGTGTCTCACTGTCTCTGTGTCACTGTGTCACTGTCTCTGTGTCTCTGTGTCTCTGTGTCTCTGTGTCTCTCTGTGTCTCTGTGTGTCTCACTGTCTCACTGTCTCTGTGTTTCTGTCTCACTGTCTCTGTGTCCCTCTGTGTCTCACTGTCTCACTGTCTCACTGTCGCTGTGTCTCTATCTCACTGTCTCTGTGTCTCTGTCTCTGTGTCTCACTGTCTCACTGTGTCTCTGTGTCTCTCTGTCTCTGTGTCTCACTGTCTCACTGTGTCTCTGTGTCACTGTCTCTGTGTCTCTGTGTCTCTGTGTCACTGTCTCACTGTCTCTGTGTCTCTGTGTCTCTCTGTCTCTCTGTCTCTCTGTGTCTCTCTGTCTCTCTGTGTCTGTCTCACTGTCTCACTGTCTCACTGTCTGTGTCTCTCCCCCAGTACTTTAACAACGAGCGCTATGAGTCTGAGCGCTATGATGCCGTGTTGGGGCGCTATGAGACAGCGTCACTACACACCACCACCTCCCTCTCTGTCTCTCTGTCTCTCTGTCTCTCTGTGTCTCTGTGTCTCTCTGTGTCTCACTGTCTCTGTGTCTGTGCCTGTCTCTCTGTCTCTGTGTCTCTGTGTCTCTCTGTCTCACTGTCTCACTGTCTCACTGTCTCTGTCTCTCTGTCTCACTGTCTCGGTGTCTCACTATCTCTGTGTCTTCTGTCTCACTGTCTCACTGTCTCTGTGTACTCACTGTGTCTCACTGTGTCTCTGTAGTCACTGTGTCTCACTGTCTCTGTGTCTCACTGTCTCTGTGTCCTCACTGTCTCTCTGTCTCACTGTCTCGGTGTCTCTGTGTCTCACTGTCTCTCTGTCTCTCTGTCTCTGTGTCTCATGTGTCTCACTGTCTCTCTGTCTCACTGTGTCTCTGCTCTCTGTGTGTCTCACTGTCTCACTGTCTTGTGTCTCTGTCTCACTGTCTCACTGTCTCTCTGTCTCTGTCTCTCTGTCTCTCTGTCTCTGTGTCTCACTGTCTCTCTGTCTCACTGTCTCACTGTCTGTCTCTCTGTGTCTCTCCCCCAGTACTTTAACAACGAGTGCTATGAGTCTGAGCGCTATGATGCCGTGTTGGGGCGCTATGAGACAGCGTCACTACACACCACCACCTCCCTCTCTGTCTCTCTGTCTCTCTGTGTCTCACTGTCTCTGTGTCTATCTGTCTCTGTGTCTCACTGTCTCTGTGTCTCTGTGTCTCTGTGTCTCTGTGTCTCTCTGTGTCTCTGTGTGTCTCACTGTCTCACTGTCTCTGTGTCTCACTGTCTCACTGTCACTGTGTCTGTGTCTCACTGTCTCTGTGTTTCTGTCTCACTGTCTCTGTGTCCCTCTGTGTCTCACTGTCTCACTGTCTCACTGTCTCTGTCTCTGTGTCACTGTGTCTCACTGTCGCTGTGTCTCTATCTCACTGTCTCTGTGTCTCTGTCTCTGTGTCTCACTGTCTCACTGTCTCACTGTGTCTCTGTGTCTCTCTGTGTCTCACTGTCTCACTATGTCTCTGTGTCTCTGTGTCACTGTCTCTGTGTCTCTGTGTCTCTGTGTCACTGTCTCACTGTCTCACTGTCTCTGTGTCTCTGTGTCTCTCTGTCTCTCTGTCTCTCTGTCTCTCTATGTCTCACTGTCTCTGTGTCTCTGTGTCTCTGTGTCTCTGTCTCACTGTCTGTCTCTCTGTCTCTCTGTGTCTCACTGTCTCTCTGTCTCACTGTCTCTCTGTGTCTGTCTCTCTGTCTCACTGTCTCTGTGTCTCACTGTGTCTCTGTCTCACTGTCTCTGTGTCTCTGTGTCTCTGTGTCTCACTGTCTCTCTGTGTCTCACTGTGTCTGTGTCTCACTGTCTCTGTGTCTGTGCCTGTCTCTCTGTCTCTGTGTCTCACTGTCTCACTGTCTCACTGTCTCTCTGTCTCACTGTCTCACTGTCTCTGTGTCTCACTATCTCTGTGTCTCTGTCACACTGTCTCACTGTCTCACTGTCTCTGTGTCTCACTGTGTCTCACTGTGTCTCACTGTGTCTCTGTGTCTCTGTGTCACTGTGTCTCACTGTATCTCTGTGTCTCACTGTCTCTGTCTCTGTGTCTCACTGTCTCTCTGTCTCACTGTCTCTGTGTCTCTGTGTCTCACTGTCTCTCTGTCTCTGTGTCTCTGTGTCTCTGTGTCTCACTGTCTCTCTGTCTCACTGTGTCTCTGTCTCTGTGTCTCTGTCTCTCTGTGTGTCTCACTGTCTCACTGTCTCTGTGTCTCTGTGTCTCTGTCTCACTGTCTCACTGTCTCACTGTCTCACTGTCTCTCTGTCTCTCTGTCTCTCTGTCTCTATGTCTCTGTCTCTGTGTCTCTGTCTCTGTGTCTCTCCCCCAGTACTTTAACAACGAGCGCTATGAGTCTGAGCGCTATGATGCCGTGTTGGGGCGCTATGAGACAGCGTCACTACACACCACCACCTCCCTCTCTGTCTCTCTGTGTCTCTGTGTCTCTCTGTGTCTCTGTCTCTCTGTCTCACTGTCTCACTGTCTCACTGTCTGTGTCTCTGTGTCTCTGTCTCTGTGTCTCTGTGTCTCTCTGTCTCTGTGTCTCTGTCTCTCTGTCTCTGTGTCTCTCCCCCAGTACTTTAACAACGAGCGCTATGAGTCTGAGCGCTATGATGCCGTGTTGGGGCGCTATGAGACAGCGTCACTACACACCACCACCTCCCTCTGTCTCTCTGTCTCACTGTCTCTCTGTCTCACTGTCTGTGTCTCACTGTCTCACTGTCTCTGTGTCTCTGTGTCTCTCCCCCAGTACTTTAACAACGAGCGCTATGAGTCTGAGCGCTATGATGCCGTGTTGGGGCGCTATGAGACAGCGTCACTACACACCACCACCTCCCTCTCTGTCTCTCTGTCTCTCTGTCTCTCTGTGTCTCACTGTCTCTCTGTCTCTGTCTCACTGTGTCTCACTGTCTCACTGTCTCTGTGTCTCTGTGTCTCTCCCCCAGTACTTTAACAACGAGTGCTATGAGTCTGAGCGCTATGATGCCGTGTTGGGGCGCTATGAGACAGCGTCACTACACACCACCACCTCCCTCTCTGTCTCTCTGTCTCTCTGTCTCACTGTCTCACTGTCTCTGTGTCTGTGTCTCTCCCCCAGTACTTTAACAACGAGTGCTATGAGTCTGAGCGCTATGATGCCGTGTTGGGGCGCTATGAGACAGCGTCACTACACACCACCACCTCCCTCTCTGTCTCTCTGTCTCTCTGTCTCTCTGTCTCACTGTCTGTGTGTCTCACTGTCTGTGTCTCTCCCCCAGTACTTTAACAACGAGCGCTATGAGTCTGAGCGCTATGATGCCGTGTTGGGGCGCTATGAGACAGCGTCACTACACACCACCACCTCCCTCTCTGTCTCTCTGTGTCTCTGTGTCTCTCTGTGTCTCTGTGTCTCTGTCTCACTGTCTCTGTGTCTGTGTCTCTGTGTCTCTCCCCCAGTACTTTAACAACGAGCGCTATGAGTCTGAGCGCTATGATGCCGTGTTGGGGCGCTATGAGACAGCGTCACTACACACCACCACCTCCCTCTCTGTCTCTCTGTCTCTCTGTGTCTCTGTCTCTCTGTGTCTCTGTGTCTCTGTCTCACTGTGTCTGTCTCACTGTCTCTGTGTCTCTGTGTCTCTCCCCCAGTACTTTAACAACGAGCGCTATGAGTCTGAGCGCTATGATGCCGTGTTGGGGCGCTATGAGACAGCGTCACTACACACCACCACCTCCCTCTCTGTCTCTCTGTCTCTCTGTCTCACTGTCTCACTGCCTCTGTCTCTCTGTCTCACTGTCTGTGTCTCTCCCACAGTACTTTAACAACGAGCGCTATGAGTCTGAGCGCTATGATGCCGTGTTGGGGCGCTATGAGACAGCGTCACTACACACCACCATCTCCCTCTCTGTCTCTGTGTCTCTCTGTCTCTCTGTCTCACTGCCTCTGTCTCTCTGTCTCACTGTCTGTGTCTCTCCCACAGTACTTTAACAACGAGCGCTATGAGTCTGAGCGCTATGATGCCGTGTTGGGGCGCTATGAGACAGCGTCACTACACACCACCATCTCCCTCTCTGTCTCTGTGTCTCTCTGTCTCTCTGTCTCACTGCCTCTGTCTCTCTGTCTCACTGTCTGTGTCTCTCCCACAGTACTTTAACAACGAGCGCTATGAGTCTGAGCGCTATGATGCCGTGTTGGGGCGCTATGAGACAGCGTCACTACACACCACCACCTCCCTCTCTGTCTCTCTGTGTCTCTGTGTCTCTGTCTCACTGTGTCTGTCTCACTGTCTCTGTGTCTCTGTGTCTCTCCCCCAGTACTTTAACAACGAGCGCTATGAGTCTGAGCGCTATGATGCCGTGTTGGGGCGCTATGAGACAGCGTCACTACACACCACCACCTCCCTCTCTGTGTCTCTGTCTCTCTGTCTCTCTGTCTCACTGTCTGTGTCTCTGTGTCTCTCTGTGTCTCTGTCTCACTGTCTCACTGTCTCTGTGTCTGTGTCTCTGTGTCTCTCCCCCAGTACTTTAACAACGAGCGCTATGAGTCTGAGCGCTATGATGCCGTGTTGGGGCGCTATGAGACAGCGTCACTACACACCACCACCTCCCTCTCTGTCTCTCTGTGTCTCTGTCTCTCTGTCTCTCTGTCTCTCTGTCTCTCTGTCTCACTGTCTCTCTGTGTCTGTGTCTCTGTGTCTCTCCCACAGTACTTTAACAACGAGCGCTATGAGTCTGAGCGCTATGATGCCGTGTTGGGGCGCTATGAGACAGCGTCACTACACACCACCACCTCCCTCTCTGTCTCTCTGTCTCTCTGTCTCTCTGTCTCACTGCCTCTGTGTCTGTGTCTCACTGTCTGTGTCTCTCCCACAGTACTTTAACAACGAGCGCTATGAGTCTGAGCGCTATGATGCCGTGTTGGGGCGCTATGAGACAGCGTCACTACACACCACCACCTCCCTCGCCGCGCTCAACTTTGGACAGGCGGCCATCTTCAGCGTAGGCCTCACCGCCATCATGGGGCTAGCCAGCAACGGCATCATCGCTGGTGAAGGTGGAGGGGGGAGGGGGGAGGGGGACTCTCTCACACACACAGTGTGTCTCTCTCTCACAGTGTCTCTCTGTGTGTGTGTCTCTGTCTCTCTCTGTGTGTGTGTCTCTGTGTCTCACATAGTGTCTCTCTCTCACAGTGTCTCTCTGTGTCTCTCTCTGTGTGTGTGTCTCTCTGTGTGTGTGTGTCTCTCTGTGTGTGTCTCTCTGTGTCTCACATAGTGACTCTCTCACAGTGTCTCTCTCTGTGTGTGTCTCTGTGTCTCTGTGTGTGTGTGTCTCTCTGTGTGTGTCTCTCTGTGTGTCTCTCTGTGTGTGTGTCTCTGTGTGTGTGTCTCTGTGTGTGTGTCTCTCTGTGTCTCACATAGTGACTCTCTCACACACAGTGTCTCTCTGTGTGTGTCTCTGTGTCTCTGTGTGTGTGTCTCACAGTGTGTCTCTCTGTATCTCTGTGTGTGTCTCTCAGTGTCTCTCTGTATCTCTCTCTCACACAGTGTCTCTCTGTGTGTGTCTCTGTGTGTGTGTCTCTGTGTGTGTCTCTCTGTGTGTATGTCTCTCTGTGTGTGTCTCTCTGTGTGTGTCTCTCTGTGTGTGTCTCTCTGTGTGTGTGTCTCTCTGTGTGTGTCTCTCTGTGTGTGTGTCTCTCTGTGTGTGTGTCTCTCTGTGTGTGTCTCTCTCTGTGTGTGTGTGTGTCTCTCTGTGTGTCTCTGTGTCTCTGTGTGTGTCTCTCTGTGTCTCTCTCACAGTGTCTCTCTGTGTCTCTCTCTCACAGTGTCTCTCTCACATAGTGTCTCTCTCTGTGTGTGTCTCTCTGTGTGTGTCTCTCTGTGTGTCTCTCTGTGTGTGTCTCTGTGTGTGTGTCTCTGTGTCTCTCTCTGTGTGTCTCTCTGTGTGTCTCTGTGTGTCTCTCTCACACAGTGTCTCTCTCACAGTGTCTCTCTCACAGTGTCTCTCTCACGTAGTGTCTCTCTCACGTAGTGTCTCTCTGTGTGTCTCTCTGTGTGTGTGTCTGTGTCTCTCTCTGTGTGTCTCTGTGTGTCTCTGTGTGTCTCTGTGTGTGTCTCTCTGTGTGTCTCTCTGTGTCTCTCTCTGTGTCTCTCTCTGTGTCTCTCTGTGTCTCTCTCTGTGTCTCTCTCTGTGTCTTTCAGTGTGTCTCTGTGTGTCTCTCTCACACAGTGTCTCTCTCACGTAGTGTCTCTCTCACGTAGTGTCTCTCTGTGTGTCTCTCTGTGTCTCTCTGTCAGTGTCTCTCAGTGTCTCTCTGTGTCTCTCTGTGTCTCTCTCACATAGTGTCTCTCTCACAGTGTCTCTCTGTGTCTCACAGTGTCTCTCTCTCACAGTGTCTCTCTCACATAGTGTCTCTCTCACAGTGTCTCTGTCAGTGTCTCTCTGTGTCTCACAGTGTCTCTCTCTCTCACAGTGTCTCTCTCACATAGTGTCTCTCTCACAGTGTCTTTCTCAGTGTCTCTCTGTGTCTCACAGTGTCTCTCTCACAGTGTCTCTCTCACATAGTGTCTCTCTCACAGTGTCTCTCTCAGTGTCTCTCTGTGTCTCACAGTGTCTCTCTCACAGTGTCTCTCTCAGTGTCTCTCTGTGTCTCACAGTGTCTCTCTCTCACAGTGTCTCTCTCACAGTGTCTCTCTGTGTGTCTCTCAGTGTCTCTCTCACACAGTGTCTCTCTGTGTGTCTCTCTGTGTCTCACAGTGTCTCTCTCTCACGTAGTGTCTCTCTCTGTGTGTCTCTCTGTGTCTCTCTGTGTCTCTCAGTGTGTCTCTGTGTGTCTCTCTGTGTCTCTCTCTGTGTCTCACAGTGTCTCTCTCAGTGTCTCTCACAGTGTCTCTCTCAATGTCTCTCAGTGTCTCTCTGTGTGTCTCTCTCTGTCTCTCTCACACAGTGTCTCTCTGTGTGTCTCTCTGTGTCTGTCTCACATAGTGTCTCTCTCTGTGTGTGTCTCTCTGTGTCTCTCTCACACAGTGTCTCTCTGTGTGTGTCTCTGTGTCTTTCTGTGTCTCTCTCACATAGTGTCTCTCTCTGTGTGTCTCTCTGTGTCTCTCTCACATAGTGTCTCTCTGTGTGTCTCTCTGTGTCTCTCTCACATAGTGTCTCTCTCTGTGTGTGTCTGTGTCTTTCTGTGTCTCTCTGTGTCTCTCTCACATAGTGTCTCTCTCTGTGTGTGTCTCTCTGTGTCTCTCTCACATAGTGTCTCTCTGTGTCTCTCTGTGTCTTTCTGTGTCTCTCTGTGTCTCTCTCACATAGTGTGTCTCTCTGTGTCTCTCTCACATAGTGTCTCTCTCTGTGTCTCTCTCAGTGTCTCTCTGTGTCTCTCTCACATAGTGTCTCTCTGTGTGTCTCTCTGTGTCTCTCTCACATAGTGTCTCTCTCTGTGTCTCTCTCAGTGTCTCTCTGTGTCTCTCTCACATAGTGTCTCTCTCTGTGTCTCTCTCAGTGTCTCTCTGTGTCTCTCTCACATAGTGTCTCTCTGTGTGTCTCTCTGTGTCTCTCTCACATAGTGTCTCTCTCTGTGTGTGTCTCTCTGTGTCTCTCTCACACAGTGTCTCTCTGTGTGTGTCTGTGTCTTTCTGTGTCTCTCTCACATAGTGTCTCTCTCTGTGTGTCTCTCTGTGTCTCTCTCACATAGTGTCTCTCTGTGTGTCTCTCTGTGTCTCTCTCACATAGTGTCTCTCTCTGTGTGTCTCTCTGTGTGTGTCTCTGTGTGTCTCTGTGTGTGTGTGTCTCTGTCTCTCTGTGTGTGTCTCTGTCTCTCTCTGTGTGTGTGTCTCTGTCTCTCTGTGTGTGTCTCTGTGTCTCACATAGTGTCTCTCTGTGTGTCTCTCTCTGTGTGTGTGTCTCTCTCTGTGTGTGTCTCTGTGTGTCTCTCTGTGTGTGTGTCTCTCTGTGTCTCTCTGTGTGTGTCTCTGTGTCTCACATAGTGACTCTCTTACACACACAGTGTCTCTCTCTGTGTGTGTCTCTCTGTCTCTCTGTGTGTCTCTCTGTCTCTCTGTGTGTGTCTCTGTCTCTCTCTGTGTGTGTGTCTCTCTGTGTGTGTCTCTCACAGTGTCTCTCTCACGTAGTGTCTCTCTCACAGTGTCTCTCTCACGTAGTGTCTCTCTCACAGTGTCTCTCTCACGTAGTGTCTCTCTCACAGTGTCTCTCTCTGTGTGTGTCTCTGTCTCTCTGTGTCTCACATAGTGTCTCTCTCTGTGTGTGTCTCTCTGTGTCTCTCTCTCTGTGTGTCTCTCTGTGTGTCTCTGTGTGTCTCTCTGTGTGTCTCTCTGTGTCTCTCTGTGTGTGTCTCTCTGTGTGTGTCTCTGTGTCTCACATAGTGTCTCTCTCTCACAGTGTGTCTCTGTGTGTGTCTCTCTCTGTGTGTCTCTCTGTGTGTGTCTCTCTGTGTGTCTCTGTGTGTCTCTCTGTCTCTCTGTGTGTCTCTCTCACACAGTGTCTCTCTGTGTGTCTCTCTGTGTGTCTCTCTGTGTGTGTCTCTCTGTGTGTGTCTCTCTGTGTGTGTCTCTCTGTGTGTGTCTCTGTGTCTCTCTGTGTGTGTCTCTGTGTCTCACATAGTGACTCTCTCACGTAGTGTGTCTCTGTGTGTGTCTCTCTCTCACAGTGTCTCTCTCTGTGTGTCTCTGTGTGTCTCTGTGTGTCTCACGTAGTGTCTCTCTCTGTGTGTGTCTCTGTGTCTCTCTGTGTGTGTCTCTGTGTCTCACATAGTGACTCTCTCACGTAGTGTGTCTCTGTGTGTGTCTCTCTGTGTGTCTCTCTGTCTCTCTGTGTGTGTCTCTCAGTGTCTCTCTGTATCTCTCTCTCACACAGTGTCTCTCTCTGTGTGTGTCTCTCTGTCTCTCTCACACAGTGTCTCTCTCTGTGTGTGTGTCTCTGTGTCTCACATAGTGTCTCTCTCTCACAGTGTCTCTTTCTCAGTGTCTCACAGTGTCTCTCAGTGTCTCTCAGTGTCTCTCTCACGCAGTGTCTCTCTGTGTGTGTCTCACATAGTGTCTCTCTCTCACAGTGTCTCTCTGTGTGTCTCTGTGTCTCACATAGTGTCTCTCTGTGTCTCACATAGTGACTCTCTCACGTAGTGTCTCTCTGTGTGTCTCTCTGTGTCTCTCTGTCAGTGTCTCTCAGTGTCTCTCAGTGTGTCTCTCTGTGTGTCTCTCTGTGTCTCTCTCACACAGTGTCTCTCTGTGTGTGTCTCTCTCTGTGTCTCTCTCTGTGTCTCTCTGTGTGTCTCTCTGTGTGTCTCTGTGTCTCTCTGTGTGTGTCTCTGTGTCTCACATAGTGACTCTCTCACGTAGTGTGTCTCTGTGTGTGTCTCTCTGTGTGTCTCTCTGTGTGTCTCTCTGTGTGTCTCTCTGTGTGTCTCTCTCACGTAGTGTCTCTCTCTGTGTCTCTCTGTGTCTCTCTCACATAGTGTCTCTCTGTGTGTCTCTCTGTGTGTCTCTCTGTGTGTCTCTCAGTGTCTCTCTGTGTGTCTCTCTGTCTCTCTCTGTGTGTCTCTCTGTGTGTCTCTCTGTGTGTCTCTCTGTGTCTCTCTGTGTGTCTCTCTCACGTAGTGTCTCTCTCTGTGTGTGTCTCTCTGTGTCTCTCTCACATAGTGTCTCTCTGTGTGTCTCTCTGTGTCTCTCTCATATAGTGTCTCTCTCACAGTGTCTCTCTCACAGTGTCTCTCTCTCACACAGTGTCTCTCTCTCTGTGTGTCTCTCTGTGTCTCTCTCACAGTGTCTCTCTCTGTGTGTCTCTCTGTGTCTCTCTCACATAGTGTCTCTCTGTGTGTCTCTCTGTGTGTCTCTCTGTGTCTCTCTGTGTGTCTCTCACATAGTGTCTCTCTCTGTGTCTCTCTGTGTCTCTCTGTGTCTCTGTGTCTCTCTCAGTGTGTCTCTCTGTGTCTCTCTGTGTCTCTCTCACATAGTGTCTCTCTGTGTGTCTCTCTGTGTCTTTCTGTGTCTCTCTGTGTCTCTCTCACATAGTGTCTCTCTCTGTGTCTCTCTCAGTGTC